TCTAAATATAACAATCTTTATACTTATATTATTAAAGCCAATGAAATATATATATATATATATATATATATATATATATATATATATATATATATATATATATATATATATATATATATATATATATATATATATATATATATATATATATATATATGTATATATAATCAAATAATAAAATAATTAAACATTATTAAACAAAACAGAAAAAAAAAAACAAAACAAAAAAGAGGAAAAGATACACGGATACACGACACACACTTCAATGGATGACAATTAAAATAATGCACATGGCCCATCTTTATCCTGCCCGAACATTTCTTAATTGTACGGAATAAATTAAAGAGACCCAGCCTAGGTGAAGTAGAAGGTGCGGGAGCCATTTAATTCTTCTTTTTGGGATTTGCAGAGGCTAATTTTATTTATTATTTGAAAAAACTTGACGAAGGAGGATGGTTGAGAGGTGATCAAAAGGCAGCGGAAGGTGGTGGAGGAAATGGCGGGGAAGAGGGTGATAAGAGGTAAGGATGGGGTGGAAGGAGTTTTGGTCCAGCTCATTTGCGGGTCACAAGTGGACATCATGTGAAATGCACATGAGGTTTTCGTCAAAGTTAACAGGAAAATTAGACGGCCGAAACAAAATTGTCATAAAGTTGTAAGTTTTAGGATTCAATTCGTGACGGCAAATGTTTGAGATCGAAAATCCTTGTAGGTGATAAGTATAACAACCAAAAGTGTAACTATCCCGTCAAAAGTAACACCATATGAGGATAATGTAAGACCTTACCTTGGGGGTAATTTACATAAAAAATAATATTATTGCAATATTCAGTCAAATTAGGTAAACTATCAGTTATATTATGAGAACATCGGTCATATTATTCAAAAAATCCAACTATATTATTCAAAACTTCAGATTCAGATCGTGGAAAATGAAGTCAGATTCAGCAACAAATCTGTCCTATCGTTATTCAATATTATGTTAGGTTAATAGCAATTTGCCACTTATACTTTGCTTGTTTTTGCACTTTGTCACCTTAACAAAAAAATATTGCACGGGCACACCCAACCCGTTATTATGACTTACTTAACCACCTAGGGAGAATATTCAGACGAATCTTCACAAATTACGGCGCACGCGAAAAGCACATAACAATGTAAATTGAACTTAATTTGAAATTTGCCTAAATTTGAAATTAATTAAAATAAAACTTTGGATCTTTTTCTTCCATTAGAGTTTCTCCCTTATTAATTAAAATTATGGTCGGTTGTAATTACCAGTGCCAAGGATCAGTTTAGCAGCTCACACAAATACACGCACACACACAAACTCATGTCCACGTCCGTCTCTGCCGTAAACAAAAACTCTTCACATTCAATTCAAAAGACACAAACATGCACCTCCAAGAAAAGTTTTGTTTTTGTTTTCTTTTTTTCATTCGCAAGTACTTTGTTCGTAGGAATTGTGATCCGGATCTTTTTTCTTGATCCTTAATTTGTTTGCCAAAAAGAGAATTTGAGTCGAGCGTCCTATTTTTTTGTAATTTGTTTTGTTATTCATTCATGTTTTAAATTTCGGGTCTTTTTTCACTTTCTGCATTTTTTGACCAAATGGGATTTGCCAACATGTATAAACCACCAAATAAAGTTAAGATAATAAGCTAAAGCAAACTATTATTAGAATACATTCCTTTACAATTTGCATAAAGTTGTAAGGAACTTTTGGGGCTATGATCTTAGTTTGCTTGTGATTTGGTCTTCGTTTTATGTATTCTCTTACTTTCTTGGTTTGTAACATTTCTTGTTTTCAATATTTTTTTTCATACAGTATTGTCCAAATGTCGAGGAAGATGGTATGGTTATCGATGGGAGGGTTGGACAAACCGAGTAAGAGTGAAGAGGAGATTGACTATGACTTTTATTTGTTTGTAATTGAGGAGGTAATCAAACCCACTGAAATTAATTGAAATAAAAGTCTGGGTTTTCTTTGAATTAATTAATGGGGAAAAACTCCCATGGAAGAAGGAAGAAGACCCAAAGCTTTGTTTTTTAGTTAATTTCGTATTTTGACAAGTTTCAAATTAAATTCAGTTGAGTACTTGGAACATTCAATTTCATCCCATGTGATATTTTTAGGTGAAAAGACGAAAAAACCCATTTATTTTATCATGTGTTTCATGCTTGCGTCTGTATTTGTGAAGATTCGCCATAATATTTGCCCTAAGTGGTTAAGTGAGTCATAATAACGAAGTTGGGTGTGCTTTTTTCTTTTTATTAAGGTGGCAAAGTGCAAAAACATGTAAAGAACAGGTGGCAAAATGCTATTAAACCTAAAATTTTCATCTAATTATGCGTACACAAATCCAAGTTCCTTTTGAAAGCAAACAACTAGAGCTACAACTTTCGTGTTTGGCGTATTCGATGATACAAAGTTTATGGTACTTACAGTTACATAGTATGCTCAAAATTGTGCCTGGATTATGAATTGCGCTACTTACATAGTTTCGTATTTCTGCCATAACTATCTCGTCTAAAGTCCAAGTGCCTTGATACAAAATGTATTCAAAAGCCAAAAAAATAGACCTACAATCAGTAAGGATTTGGGTTTGCGTCTTTCAAAATTTAAATTTCAACTCAACGAAAATTGAAAAAATGCAGGTGTACTTTTGTAAAAGAGATGAGGGAACACAAATTTCATTCATAAGATTGTAAGTTAGAACACAATAATATTATTCATGAATATCGCTCAAATCATAAATAAATAAAAACATTCACGAATCAAATATATTAATTTCTGATTCTTGCAAGACAATGACATGTCCAGTAGGGCTCCGGGCTCCAGGGGAGGGTCCGGAGCACGGCAATATCCTCCGGGGCAAGGATAGGACCCACAAGACACTTTGCTACACGCAAAAGTACAAACTTATTCAAGACATGGTTCCATTTTGAAACTTGGTTCACCGTTACAACTTGTACTACACATTATTGAAACCAAACCATAAACAAGAAAAATAATTATTAGTACTTGCTTCCTGATTGCTTCCATTTAGCAGAGAGTGTTCAATATTATAAACTGTCATAATTATGTCTTTTTATAGGTAGAAATATGTAATGTTCAATAATACTGCAGTTACATGATGCACAAATAAAAAGTTAGGTAGGGATTACTTGAATTACATGATGAAACCATAATTCAAACAAAGATGTATGCAATAATATAAATTTTCTCTTAATATAAATATAAATTACAAAATGAACGACAAAGTATAAATTACTGTAATAAAAATTGACTAGGTATTTTTATTAATTTGAGTTGACTATTGTATTATAAAGGACTCTTTGAGTTTTGTGCCATTTCTCAATGAAGAAAGGTCCAACCATATTTTTAGTATTAATGATACATTGAACCCTTATTTTGTTTCAAATTTACCCTCTCCTATCTTACTCACCGCTTGATTTTTTTTCTTTTTGTGTTTTCTAGTTTGAATTATATATATATATATATATATATATATATATATATATATATATATATATATATATATATATATATATATATATATATATATATATATATATATATATATATATATATATCTAAATAACTTACAAAATTACCATAATAAACTAGAATTTTATTTTTGTGTTTTGGGTTTTGTTTCTTCTAAAATAAACTATAAAATTACCGTAAATAACCACAAAAAAGTGGTATTCAACCACAAGTTTACAAAATAAAAATCAACTATAAATTATCGAAATCGACTACAAAAATATCAAAAAGTTATCCAATTAACTACATGTTAACAAAATAAACTAAAAAAAAAAACGAAAACACCCAAATCATGACTTGTCAAACTAATGAGCAAAAAGTAATTTGACTTGTGCGATGCACGGGGCGGATAAAAGTTAGTTTCGATTAAAACTCAATTTAATTAGTTGATGTGTTCAAGAGAATGTCAAATGAAGGAACGTCTTTGGATATATTAATAATTTTATTAGTGTGACATATACTTACTATTAAACAAGTTACATTCAACAATATCTCATATTCATTAACTTACAAAGCCAACTCAATTTTCCCCTTTACAGATTTTATTACACCCAAAACAATATATTAGAAAAAAATGGATATACATGTCATGTTAGCTATCAAAGAACTAAGTAGTTAGTAATGGGAAACAAATGGGTGACGCTTATTACACCTTATAATAGTACATAAACTTAACATAATTTTCCATCATAAACATCATTAGGAGTAATTGTGAAACAAAATAAAGAAATTTGCTTACCAGTATTGACACAAAAACCTAGTTCTGAGATCTTTATTAAGTTTTCTCTAAGGATTTAAAGCAATAAATCAACGAAAGACATGATCTGCGTATCAAGAAACAAAACAAAAATAAAGGGAACAAATTTACGATTTTCAAATCTGTCAAATATATTTAAACTCTTTTATACTAGTCCTGGAAATTTTCAGGAAATCATCTAATATAATGGATGTATGCAGAATTTGAAAGTTAGTTAATCTAGGATAATTAGAATATATGAAATCTCCTAGTTTTCGAAAAATCTGCTAATTTTTAGCATGTAATGGTTTCAAAAAATGAATTTAATAAACAAAATGTAGCCACATAACATGAAAATCCTTTACTCTAATGCTAATACTAATACTAATATTAATATTAATGATAATATACTAAAACTAATCCTAATATACTAATGCGAATGCTAATGTTATTATTAATATTAATGCTACTCATAATTTTATAATTAAAAGTTAGTATTAATATTAGTTTTAGAGTTAGTGTTAGCATTAATATTAGTATTAGTATGTTGATACATTAATAATTTAATGTAACAAATGTTAGAGTATATTTTATTATTAAATATCATAGGATATTAGGATTCTATTATGATTCGGCTACCTAGATTAGTTAGGATTTAGTTACCTAGTCAAACTCTATTACCTTGCAATATTTTTCTATATATATTTCATGTAAACTGCCCATAACATAATGGGGGTTTCTATAATATTAGGTATTATTATTTCTCTCTTTCTCCTATGCTATTCTTCCTATATGGTATCAGAGCACCAGGTTTTTTAACATGGTCGTCTTTCTTCTCCATAGGTGTGACCACCCAATTTTCTCCCTCCCCCGGCGGTGATACTCTAATATTTTTTTTTCTATCTTTTCCATGAACACCACTCAAATTTCCTCCCTCCCCTAGTGGTGGTACTCTTCTCTTTTAAGTTATATTATTTCCGACATCTTCTTCTTCTTAGTCGATTAATCTTTTTTCTCTCTCTTTAATCTCTGTCAGTTTTTTAATAATTCTTCTTCCCCTCTCATATTTTTTTTCTCTCTCTCTCTCTCAATTCATACACACACAGAAAAAAAAAATAAAACAAAAGCAATTTTATTTTCTCTACACGTTATTTTTTTTCTATCAATTGGACAGATATTTTCAGAGTGGAATTCTCTAGCGTTGTGTTTCGCGGTTTCTGTCCAGTCTTCACTTTTGGAGTTTTATTCATTTCGACTGGGGGAGCGTGTTAGCAAGTGATTGTCCAGTCTTCACATTCGTCACGTTTCGACTGCAGAAGCGTGTTAGAGTATATTATATTATTAGATATTATAGGATATTAGGATTCTATTATGATTCGGTTACCAAGATTAGTTATGATTTAGTTACCTAGTCAAACTCTATTACCTTGCAATATTTCTCTATATATATTCCATGTAAATTAACCCATAACATATATTATATTACGTATTATTATTTCTC